AGTATAATATATATATATATATATATATATATATATATATATATATATATATATTAAAAATAATAATTCTATTAAAAAAACATTTCGACCGTAAGTTTCAATTGTTTTTAAATGACCACCTATTTGCATCCATCTTTAAGATGGATGCTTTATCCCTCGGGAACTGTAAATGTAAAAATGCAGTCCCCGCCGCATGAAACAATTTTCCATTAGAAAATAACACAAAGCTTTTTTTACATCATCATCATCAATATATGTTTCACTTGCAGGAGAATGGTGGAAGAAAGATGTTATGCAGGTTTTGAGGGAAGCCGTAATCACGGGGGGAGACCCCAATATTTCTGATGCTTTTAACATTAATGGCCAGCCCGGTGATCTCTACCCTTGCTCTAGATCAGGTAACATTTAAGTATGAAAAAAGAAAAAATAAGAAAAATGAGTGAATCTTAATATAAAAAAAGGTATATATCATGTTTCCTCAAATAATTTTTTATCTACAAATGGCCACACATGGTGGTTCAATAGGACCAAGCTGTACATTTGGTCCTGCAGATAATAAAAATACGGGTTTTTATGTTCTCATAGTTTCAAATAGTATTTAATTCACCATGCAACCAGTTGCAAAACAGGAAAAGGAAATTCTTATGAGCTCTTGGAACTGTAGATTTAATTGTCTAGTAAATGAATGGATGGTCCAAATTCAACGTTGATTAGAAGCAGTGCTTAAGCTCTAATATTATCTTATTAAAATAATTGGTCTTGGTCATGAACAAAGATGATGTCATAATTGTTGGGTAAAAAAAAATCTTGCGTTGTTGTTTCCGTTATGAACCAAATTTGAAATTTGTCTTCTAGAGCACCAATTCATTTTAGCTTTTCTTTTGTTTTGTTTTTTTTTTAAACATTGATATACACAAATATAAGTAGATACTCTTTCTTTTATTCATTTATTTATTTATTTTTCTTTTAACGGTGGGAATAGAATCTAAGACATTATGTTTGTGCACCTGCTTCCATGAATCAAATATAATATAAATATATTTAGAGAAAAATTTCCCCCTAACTAGGACTTGACCACTTGTTGATGGGTAATTAGCACAACTAAATATTTATGCTTTTCTTGAAGGAGAAACCTCATAATTTGTTGCGCAATGATATAAGAAACAATATTCAATCAGACCATTTACTTTTGATATAAAGGGATTAGAATCATTCAACCATTGAATGTGAATCAGCCAGGTGAACGTGTTATTGAACGAGTTCAAAATCCAAATTTTTTTTCTTCAAATTTGTAATGTAATTTAAAATTTCATATTTCACATCTCATGAGTAAGGGTGATTGTGGCCTCAATATACTAAGTTAAATCATCTAACAGTGTGTATATATATATATATATGAAAAAAATTTATATAAGGTGGCAATAGCGAAAAATTGTCACATCTTATTTAATTCATTAACCTGTATATAATAAGTAGATTGATATGTATTTTATAAATAAATACTAGAAAAATGGATGGAGTGTGCAAAAGAAAATGGGGGATGTTGAAAGGTAGACATAGGTATTGGATCGTGTATTAAAACTAATGCAAAAAATAAGTACTAAGTCATATTCCAAGCCCTCATAGCATTCCTCATTTTCTATTTTTTTCTTCTTTTATTTATTTTATATTTTTAATGATCTTAATTCCCCCTTTTCTTGGTTGAGTGTGCCTCCTTGGACATTCCCGTACGCAAGGGGAAGTATTTTGAGGGGCTTAAAATATAAGAAATTGTAGTTTTTGTGCCCGAAATCTTGCAAATCAATCATCTTGAATTTGACAATTATGGACTTGAAAAATTATATTTCGAGGTCTTAAAATTGTGTATTTTTTAATGGAAAAATTGTTTCATGCGGGCTGGACCACATGACTACATATGCGGTCCAAAAAGTGTAAAGCATCCATCTTAAAGATGGATGCAAGTAGGATTTCCATCTAAAAACAATAGAAACAAACGGTCCAAATGTTTTTTTATTAGAATTATTATTTCTAGCTTTTAAAAATTGGCTTAGTTTTTTATATTCATGATCTCCATGTTAGAGATTACATGTCCGTAAAAATTAAGTCCAAAAATCCATCTAAAAAATAGATTTATTAATAGGCTCGCATTTCTGCATATGCGGGGTTTGGCTGCATAGAAACCATGTCCTTTTTAATATATTATTTGAAAAGTTCATGTATCTATTATATTTATGATTTTTGAAGTTTCAAATTCTATAATTAGGGGCAGAAATAGATTTTTATGTGTCAGCAAGAGGTAAAAATAAATGTTTCAGCCACCGTAAGGGTTTCTAGATTTCCAATAAGAATTTTGTGGTGTGGCCTAACCAAAATTATTGTATGGCTGCAACCTAACTAAAAACCCTCCCAGTAATGAAACAAAGCAGTGACTAAGTTATTGAGGTGACTCATAATGACTCAAGTCGGGATCCATTGATTTTGAGGAGTCACCCAAAGTTGAGCGAATCTCTCGGGCCTAGGGCCTCCGATTGTTACTTGCCCCGAAAATTGAAGGCCTATAACTCGATCGATTCTCTGACCGACTCGCAATTGAGACCCTGGAAAGTCCAAGCATAATTCCAAAATTTCAAACACTGTAATAGATAACAATAAGCATTTGCAAAGGCATTAATTCATGATACTAGCATATTATGATATGAGCATGTATACTATGCTCCCCCAGGAGCATAGTTAACTTCTACTCCCTCAGTCAAATGGCATAAGATTTTTTTAATCTGGAATTTTGATAACCTCCTTAGAATCACTAGATGATTATTCTAAAAAAAAAAAAATTTGAAATTTGAGTTTTGTAACACTTAGATCTCACCCTCTACAAATTGGACGGAATCTATTCAATCTTGAAACATTATTTTTTTCAAGTGCTTAGAGGGTGCAATTAGAATTTTTTTTTTTTTTTATATATAGGTTAATTTATGTATTAAAAAAGTTATATCCCCAAAAAAATGGGGTCCTATAATTTATCCTAGATGTGGTACTTTACCCGAGGGAGTAAATAGACGATATACTCCTAAGGGAGTAGAATATCATTTGAGTTATGATATTGTGCACCATACTATTTACTAGAAATAATAAACTATCTAGCCATTCGACGTAATACATCCCATTTTGGAAATTGATGAGTAAGAAATGATGTACCGCAGTACAATATGATATCATTCAATATCACATTGTGAAAGTTCGTGACTTCTTTCCTTTATTTGTTCTTTAGTTATTTTCTCAGTCGATAAGATTTTGATGATGATTTTACGGTCTTACAGGGACATTTCGCATGTTTGTAGAGCAAGGAAAGACCTACCTCCTTCGACTTGTCAATTGTGCCATGAACGATGAATTGTTCTATTCTGTAGCAAACCACACACTCACAGTAGTAGGAATGGATGGTAGCTACCTCAAGCCATTCGCAACAAACTTTATCGTGATCACCCCTGGCCAAACCATGGATGTTCTCCTCACCGCAAACCAACCTAGAAATCTCTATTACATGGCTGCTAGGTCATATTCTAGTGGCCAAGGAGTCGCCTTTGATAACACAACAACAACAGCAATTCTACAGTATGCTAACACCAAAAACACTTCAGTTCCAATATTCGCAACCCTCCCATATTACAATGACACCTCCTCAGCTACAAGTTTCACTCTAAAACTAAAAAGCTTGGCCTCTAAGGACCACCCAATTAGTGTGCCAACAAATATAGATGATAGTCTAGTAATCACAGTCTCAGTGAATACGATACCATGTGTTAATAACTCATGTCAAGGGCCTAACGGCAGTAGATTGGCTGCAAGTTTGAATAACATCTCTTTCCAAAACCCATCATTTGATATCCTTCAAGCTTACTATGCTAGAGTAAGTGGGGTTTTCACAAAAGACTTTCCTAGTATGCCACCTTTTGTATTCAATTTCACCGCTGATAGTTTTCCTGAGAGTCTTCAAATACCTGAGTTGGGAACCAAGGTCAGGTTCTTGGAGTGGAACTCAAATGTTCAGATAGTTTTTCAGGGGACAAATTTGGTTGCTGGAGAAAATCATCCCTTCCATGTTCATGGGCATAGTGTCTATGTGGTTGGGCAAGGATTTGGGAACTATGATGCAGTGAAGGATCCTCTAAGTTTCAATCTGCTTGATCCACCCAACCTTAATACCGTGGACGTCCCGGTCCGAGGATGGGCGGCAATAAGATTCAAAGCGAACAACCCTGGTATCTCTCTCTCTGTTGTGTGTGTGTGTGTGTGTGTGGTGGTGCGTGTTTTGGGGGATGGGATTGAAAGAAAATGTTTTCAAGTCATGTGCGGTGCCATAGATACAGGTAGTTGTGAAGTAATCCACAAAATCGATAAGCGTATATAACATGCTCTTGTGGGAGCATACTGTAGCCCCTTAGGTAAAGTCCTACTCAAAATTTCTCAATATAAAATCTTGGAATCCATTTTAGAATTATTTGATGAGTAATTTTTTTTTTTTAAAAAAAGACATAAAAAGTAGATGGGAGTTTCTAAACGCATGGATCTGTCCATCTAAACTTTGAAGTGTCTCTATTCAATCTTAGGATTTTATTTTTTCCGAAAGGGCTACACAAGGGGGATTAAGGT